CTATGGGAGATTATTCCTTGAAAAGGGACATCATGCTTGGGAAGATAGAGGGAGAGTGAAGGAAATGATGGCCCTCAACCAGGTGAATTGACTCAGTGACTGCAACAAAGGGAAGGGGGTTAAAGATTGTGAGGATGGCAAAAGATAGGGCAGGGCTCATATCTGTTGTTCATACGTTGTCTATGAGTCGTGCTCAACTATATGGCATCTAACAACAATGTGCTCATGCTTTCAATTCTCCTAGCGTACTTAATATCAATCAGAAAAATTTTGTAGTCAAGAACTACCATAAAAAAGTATGGTGATGAAAAATAATGCAAAGTTCAAAACCAACCAGTTAAGAATTTACTTCGATTTGACAGCCCCAATGCAGGAGAGCATTTTCTAGTTCCCCAAACCTCGTTTCTTTTGCCCCTGAGTAAAGAAGTAAAAAATTAGAAACAATTTTAAAATAAGCCAGGAGAAATCTATACATACCAGAGACAGATCCTGTAAACATGTTTGAATAGATGAGAGGATCAGTGACAGCAATATCTCTACCAATAGAAATAAAACAGAAGTGGAAAAATAGAAGCATAACCGAATGACCCTTCAAAACAAGAATGCAATTTCCACTTAATCTCCCTAAATTACTAGCATCTCTCCACAGAAAATGTTCACTGGGCTGGTGGCAGTGCTGTTACTTCTACCAAGAAGTCAGTGCAGGCCTGGTATACAATCAAGAAATTGGCTGGACAATATGTATTATACGCTCTTGAAAGTATGAATTTATAACCAGGAGGTTTCCAAAGACAGCTAACACAGCCCCAGTGCTAAAGAACAAGCATAAAATCACCCAGGATATAGGGGAGTAGGGAGTTGTGATGCAGGATCCATTAAAGTTCTCATACTATAGCTAGGCAACTCCCTCAGTGTTCATAAACCACACAGGGACTTAAACTTAATTGTGATATGTTCTCTCTTAGATGTGCATTTCTGGTTATATTTTCCCACATATTTATATGATAGGCCAGGGCTTCTAAGATTTATCTAATTTTGTCTCTTGTGAGATTTCTGGTCCACTTTGAGTTGATTTCTGTGTACAGTGTGAGACGTGGATCCTGTTTCAGCTTTCTGCAGTTAAAAGTCCAGTTTGCCAACACCATTTGTTGAATAGCATACAATTTTCCCATCTGATAATTTTGTTTCTTTGATAAATACCAGCTGACCGTAGGTAGATTCTGTTCCATTTGTCTATGCAATTAAAGGGGGGGAAATGCTTAGCAATGACATCTTAGATAAAAGTCACACAATAAAAGTTTGCAGAATACTACAGAATCTCCACAAGAATAAAGACTGATAACTCATTCACAAAATGGGCAAAAGATATGGAAAGATTTTGCACAAAGCAAGACTTTCCTGTGGCCAACAGACACATGAAGAAATGCTCAAAGTCACTGGCATTAAGAGAGATGCAAATGAAAACCATCATGAGATATTATCTCATTCCAGTAGCAAGAGAACAAGCAATAGAAGAGAAAAAGTGGAGAGACTGGAAGTCTCATACAATGTTGGTGAGATTGTAAAATGGTCTAACTTCTCTGGAAGGCAGTTTGACATTCCTCAAAAAGCTGAACATAGAAATTCCACATGTCCCAGTGATTCTACTTATAGAATTCTACCACGAGAAACACAGAACAGTGACACAAATGGAGATTTGTGGACTGATGTTTATAACAGGGTTATTAATAATATAAAGAAAATTAAAACAGCCCGAATGGCCAACAACTAATAAATGAATTGAGAAATTGTGGTCCATTCACACAATTCAGCATAGTGTATACTGTAATATATAGCATATAGAGTAATATTATTCAATGGTAATAATTTTGTGAAATACTATACAACATGAGGGAGGCTAGAGAATATTATGCTGATTGAAATAACTCAGAGTCATAAGGACAAATACTGCATAATACCATTATTTTTAAAATAGAAGATTATCTATGAAGAAGTGTATACATGTCCAAGGGAGAATGGAGAAGCAGGGGGCTAAATGTGGGGGGACGCAGAGTTGCAGAGTTTGGTGGGAAGAAGGAGGTGAAGGACTTAGAAAAGATCGAGTGGGGATCTTTAAAGATGAGGTGATATGGGATATAGATCAATGGTGATTCCTAAAACATAATGTATAGGAATAATGATATGAAAGACAATGTGAAAGATGGAATGTGTGAAATACAATGTACATGAATGAAACTCAATTTATATGAATATTATAAACAAACAAATGTAAAATTTTAAAAAATAATAAAACAACTGAGTATTTGAAAGGACCAATACTTGCCTTAATTGTCTCACTTTCAGAAAGCAAGTTTGTGTCATCTACATAATGAAGGTTATTTATGAGTCTTCGTCCAAACCTGATGCCATATTCTTCATAGAGTCCAGCTTCTTGAATAATTTACTTAGCAAGCATATCAAATAGATAAAGAGAAATAATACATTTCACTAATTTTGAAGCATGTTCCCTGGCTCTGTTTGGATAAGAACCTCTAATCTATGAATAGGTTTTGCACCACCCAATTAAGTGTTCTGGGATTCTCATTCTTTGTAATGTTAGCCACAATTTGTTATGATTCATGTACTCAAATGTCTTCACATAGTCAATGAAGCACAAATAGACATTCTTTTGGTGTTCTTTGCTTTCATCCAGGTTCCAGCTGAGAGCAGCAATGATATCCCTGGTGCCATGTACACCTACAGCATTTCAAACATTTTGGGACATTGTTGACTTCCTATTTCTTGTAACTGATCTGCTACTAATCTTAGAAGAATGAATTACGAATACTGTCTTCTTCATATCCTGATGCCACATTCTTCTTCATAAAGTCCAACTTTGGGACTTTAGGAAGAACTTTTTTCTCATATGATCTATTTGTTTTACTACATATTTATGCCTAGGAAAATTATCTAATGAAAATATATGACTTTGCAAAGAATGATATACTAATGGTCGTGACAACAGTATCAACATAACACAAATGTCCATTGACGGCTAAGTGGATAAAGCATTATGGGACATTCCTGCACTCAAACTTTATTTAGCACAAGTGGGGAGTGAATTACCAAAATATGCAATAATACAGATGAACCTTACAGACAACAAGATGACTGAAAGAACTTGATCATAGTAGTGTATATAGTTTATAATTTTATTCACACTTGATTTTAGAACAGGCAAAATTGTAGTGATTAAAAGATCAGTGCCTCACTATGAACAGGGAAGGTGGATCAGGGGTGTCCCTTCTAAAAAAGGGCTTCAGAAGAATTCTGCAGTGAAGGAAATATTTTAAATCTTGTTTGTGATATTTCTATGTTACATTCATCAAAAGTCATCAATCTTGGAAGCATGATTATGGCTTTTAGCCACCCTTCATATCTTAAAGTGGAATCACCTTGTGACTGAATTTAAAACCAAACAATAGATAGGCCTTTCTGCAAATGTTCATTAAAATCACAATTTAAAAAAGAAAAGAAAAAAAAGTTTTGAAAGTCATCAGCTTGTACAATTTAAACAGTGGAAGTTTCTGATAAATCTGTATGTCCTTACTGTAAAGCTAATTACAAAAATTACAGGAATTACTCAACAGAGAAACCTTCATTATCTAAATTTTGTTCTAAGTTCAAAAGAATATTCATCAAAGTAAATGAAAATCTTGATCTTACAATTTACTTCCTTAAGGCAGATAACAGTTTTTAATCTTTCCAACAGTTCAGTTATAATTGGAAACAAGGTGAACCTTTTTCTTTATGCTATCTTTTCAAATTTCTTGAGAAAAATATATCATACTTTACTTCTCTACTTTCACTAATCCAAGCAATTATATCTAACTACAATATTTGAGGCCTTCCTAAATTATTCTGCATTTAATTTCTTTAACCCAAATCACTGTTTTTAATCTCATATTTAAAGATTTTAATAAAAGTGTGTGATTTTAACCTGTGGCACTCAGGCCTGGTTTTAATTGGTTTTGGTCAAACTCTCTTCTAAGGGAAATAGCACTGGTCTGACCATTTCCTGTACAGAGGTAACTCATGGTTGCTGTGATGAGAGACACTATGACATTGATGTGTCAAATGGGATAATGGTTTACCCATGGTGGACAGTGTCTGGTGGTGCTCCCGATTACAGCTAGCTTGGAGCAGGAGTGGCATCCACTTCTGAAATAGTTTGCCTCTGGAAACTCTATGAAAATTGGAGAAATGATGAAAGTTATACAAATGTTCAGTTCCATCATTCTATGAGTCATCTATGACTCGATGGCATTTAACAACAACAATGGCTAGTAACACACAAATTAATGGATGATTCTTAGAATACTGAGATAGAAATCAGTGTGAGTGAATAATTTCATAATTGAATTCTATATAAAGTTGGGTTTTTTAAGATCAAATACTACTTCTGTCTCTAGTGCATGAAAAGGATAATGCAATCAGCAAATCAGAAGGACAAACTAATTTTAAGCATAAACATAATGGATACTTAAATGTTTTCCATTTTCCGAAAACTTGCTCTATAGGGATTCAATCTTCTGGGGTAATTGAGACTAATTAGCTATTTTGCTAAATGTTTTATGCACTAGAAAGACTGTGGCAGATTCAGTCCAGAGCTCTAATAAAAAGAGATATTCTGAGATGACTCACATGACAGACAGTACATTGCTTTTTGAAGATAAATCCTCGTCAGATATTGATATGTATGTAAGACAAAGACTTTGTACTTTAATGAAAATGAATGACATAAGATAAATTGATTATGTGAAAGTAAATTACTTTTACAAAATTATTTTTTTAGGACCTGAATAAGAATTTTATGTTCAAAGAAAAAAAAAAAAACAAACCAAAAACATTCGACAGATCTTCATTCGGTACATGTCTTGATTTTCCAGGAGTTAGGAAAACTGGAGTGACACATATTTCATAAGTGATAACAATAAGTCCAGGTCTTAGAAAGGCAGGTGATGGGCACTGGTGGAGCTGTCGAGCTGTGCTACGAGAACCTGAATGGATCCTGTATCAAAACTTCCTACTCCCCAGCACCCAGGATGATTCTGTATGTGGTGTTCGGCTCCGGGGCTGTGTTAGCTGTGTTTGGTAACCTCCTGGTCATGATTTCCATTCTTCATTTCAAGCAGCTGCACTCTCCAGCCAATTACTTGATCGCATCCCTGGCCTGCACGGACTTCCTGGTGGGAGCAACTGTCATGCCCTTCAGTACAGTGAGGTCTGTGGAGAGCTGCTGGTATTTTGGGGAGATGTATTGTAAATTTCACTCTTGCTTTGATGGGTCATTCTGTTTTGCTTCTATCTACCATTTGTGTTTTATTTCTGTTGATAGATACATTGCTGTCTCGGACCCTTTGATCTATCCAACCAGGTTTACAGCGTCAGTTTCTAGATTATGCATTGCCTTTTCCTGGATTCTGTCAATTGGTTTCAGTGTTTCACTTCTTTGCTCAGGGGCCAATAAAGCTGGACTGGAGGAACTAGTGTCTGCTCTCTCCTGTGTGGGAGGCTGTCAAGTTCCAGTTAATTCCAACTGGGTGTTTGTGAACTTTGCCTTATTTTTCATCCCCACACTTGTGATGGTGATTGTTTACTGCAAGATTTTTCTGATTGCTAGACAACAAGCCAGGAAAATTGAAAGCATGATCTCCAAGCCTGAGGAATCAGCAGACAGTTACAAAGAGCGAGTGGCCAAGAGGGAGAGAAAAGCAGCTAAAACCCTGGGAATTGCAGTGATAGCATTTCTGATCTCATGGTTACCTTACTTCATTGACTCCATAATTGATGCCTTCCTGGGTTTTATCACACCCACATATATTTTTGAAATTTTAACCTGGTTTGCTTATTATAACTCAGCAATGAACCCCTTGATTTATGCTTTCTTTTATCCTTGGTTTCGAAAAGCCATTAAACTGATTGTTACTGGCCAAATCATGAGAGAGAATTCTTCAACAGTACTTTTATTTTCTGATTAGGTTCTATGTTTATGTGTCTTGTAAGAGATTCATCATAGACACATGGTGGGGAGAAGGATTGATTTTAAAAGGGTAAAGTCTTTTAATGTGAAATAATTTAATTATGCTTCATATTTGAGCTTTCTTAAATTCAGGGTCAATTTTCTTAGGGAAAATAATGTTTAAAAATAACTGTAGGAAAACCAGCACAACCTTGCAGGACAAGTGCCAACTCTGCCTTTCAACTCTGTGGCCTTGGGCTACCTAGGTTTCCCTCAACTTTATTTTATTTTTCTGGTTAATAGAACTTTTTAGGTAATGTCTTTGAGAGAATTAAAGAAACTTGTGTAACTATCTTGGAAATGTTTTCTCATTTTAGATCTTGCTTTTTATTAATTTGTATGAGTTAAATATTTGGCCCTGTCTTCTCTTTGCTCCTTTTGATATTTTTTTAATGCAGTAAACACCAATGGTAGAGTAGAACTATAACCAAGAGATACTTGAAGAGATGCTGGCTCCTTGCATAGAAAATAGGAAAGGAGTTAAATATATATTGTCCGAAGGCAAATAAAAAATTTCATTGTTTTTGTCACTTGACGTCAAGTCAACAACACCATCTAAAACCCTTATGAACAACAGTCTGAGCCAGGCCCACCCAAGCCATCCTCATGATTTCTGTAATGCTTAAGCCCACTGTAGTAGTCACTGTATCAGTCCATCTCATTAAGGTTCATGGTATGAGATTTCATAGCTCAGGAAAAATAAAAACTACAATATCAACTGAATTATTTACAATAAGAAATGTAACTAGCTTTATAAAAGAAAGCACTAATTTATTTAACAAGATCCTTTCTGGTTGACTGAGTGAAATTAGACTTTGAGAACTTTACCAGTCCATATATATCTAAAGCAAGGATTTTTAAACTGTCCTTTACTATCTTACTTTGGTTTAGAACTAACTTATGTATTCTGTTTACTTCTGCTTTTTCTCAAAATTATTTGCGACAAATTGGTGGATATATGTGATAAACTAAATCATAAATGTGATTCCAAAGTCCAAAGGAATGAAAATTAGTTGCAAAAGACACAGTGTATAAAACCAAGCCAGGTATTTCAAAAATAAACTTATTATTCACATTTGACATAGAAAGGTAATGTATATCCCATGAACAATGTAAATAAATGGCTTTTCTAATACCAGATGGTATTAGAAGTGTGAGTGCACTCAGAAGGATCTCAATAGAAAGTCCTGATGATCTATTTCTGAAAAGTCAGCTGTTGAAAACTACAGGCTTTCACTCCTGACACACTTGTACACTACTCTGACACACATGGAATTGCCATGCAATGCAGTAATCACCATGGCAATTGGCTTAGACTCATAATGGCTCAGATCAGATAGGTACTGGATACTGTCGGTAGGTGCCATGAGTCAGTTCCACTCCACAGCTACTATATTACTGTGTGTAACATAGTGAAAACCTGTCCCATCCTTCACCACCCTCATAAGTTCTGCTGTGTGTAGTCTCATAACTGCAGTCAATCTATTTTATCGAGGACCTTTCTTTCTTTCACCGAACCTCTACTTTTCCAGCATACTGTCCTTTTTCTTGATGGATCCTCTTGGGAGCGTGCCCAAAGAACGTGAGAGGAAGTTTTACTGAGGAGCACTCTGATTGCACTTCATTTTGATCTAGTTTCACTTCTTTCTTTTACAGATCACCAAACTGTGTGCTTTGGTTAATCTTGGAAAATTTTCTGTATGAAAGGGAATGGGAAACCAAGAGGTTTTCCAAATAGTCTCTTTGGGAATGACTCCAGATATGTTGGGACTAGTCAATTAGACTTTGCTTCAATGAATATTCAGTTTGAGTTCTTCCTTTACATACTATATGGTATCTTGAGCTCACATTACACGATACTATTAATAATAAAAACAATAGACACATCATAATGATTATAACTAAAGTCACTTAATGTTCCTTTGGTGAGACTGTTCTAATTGTCCTAGCCACCCTGTGAGGTTAGTAGTATTATTACTTGTATTTGATAAATGAGGTCATGAAGCATAAAAAAGGTAAAATTGGATGTCCATAGTGACATATTTAGTAAAGAACAGATTTAGTATTTACAAAGAAGAATTTTGAAAGTAAATAAGGTAATCACTTCACAAGGGAGGGTATAATGCTGTCATTGCACTCAACGTGTCTAGAACACTTTTAGGCCCAAGCCTTGTATACAAATAATTTGAAAGGTGGATAACGAGAGTATAATTTCTATGAAGGGCATATAAACAATGGCCTGTGCAAAGATGGAAAAACATTGGAAGTATCAGTTGATTAAATATGCCCTATTTTATATTATAGCTTTCCACCCACTCGTGCTTCATTACAGAAATAGTATTTTTACTGTGCAATACTGTTTTCCCCCAAGGCTTATAAGAAGGCCTATTAAGATCAATTGTACTAGGGCTGTCTGGTGGCCTAGTGCTAAAAGAAAGGTAGGGAATCTTCTCCCATGTAATTTACTACCACTGAAAATACACTGGAGGGTCACTTATGAGTTGGTTACAACTGCAATGCACAACAACAATATACTGAAATACTAGGCAGAAATTAGTCCATACATCAAGAAAATCATAATCACATTACTTCATATTTCTTAATAATTTTATTTTGAAGTGTATTTCCTCACTATCAAAAGTTACATTTTCAGTCCACTACACCCCATATAAAAATTATAATTGTAAATTACATTTAACTTTTTCTGTGACTATTAGTGCAGCTCCCTGCCAGTGTTGACTAATGTGTTACAAATAACAACACTGTTCAAGACAAACTGATTTCTATTCAGATTGAACCAAGTCATAGCTGATGCACCTTTCATTTCTGAGGCTATAAATCGTATGTGAGGAAATTGTAATTTCCTTTTATAGAGCTACTAGCGGATTTGAACTATCAGAAAGGCATGGTCTTTGAGTTTGTGGCTCAACTCTCTTAACTACATGATTATGGTTGGTAATTTTATGCACTTTTATACCTTACATATTTAAATATATAAGATATTTTCTTTTTTTTGTGTGTGTGTGTATAAGTTTAAAACAAAACCAGACTATTAATAGTGAAATATATTTCTATGTAGCCTTCCACTTTGCAGGAAACACTGTTTCATTATATTGCCATTTTATAGTCTAGGTTTCTGGTATGCATATTAGTCCTCTCTACCAACCCCCTAGAAAAACAACAAACAAAACCTGTATTCCTTGGATGAACAAAATCAATATTTCTTTGGAGTTTTCCTCCTTGCTTTTTTCCCCTGAAATATGAAAATTCCACTATAAATAAAAAACATAATGGATATCTCATAAATATTTGTGGAATAAACAAACATGTTCTTTTCTTTATATATAGAAAAACTTTCATGTACTCACATATAAGCCTTAGTCATAATATTAAAAAAAAAAGACTCTTTTTGCATCTTTTTTCACACATTAAGACAGTGGTTAGCACATTATCAAAATTGCAGGCAACATGCATGTTAGTTTTGAGATACATGAGTTTGCTTAGTCATAGGACTTTTTGTAACTAAGAAATCTGCTTGCAAATGGAGCAGAAAATGGGAAACGGAGCACAGAAACATTTGCATCTTTCTGAAAGGGCCAGGGAGAGTGGAAATTACACAGTCACTCACTGCCCCTGAGCAGAGACAATTTAAAAAAAAGGCCCATGGCCCAGCCCCATAGTGCCTCTAGAATATACAGGCCGCAAAGGCTTTCCTTTATTCATTGTTGACTCACTACTTTACTCACAGTTGTGGTCTCAAACATGGGGTCTATTAGGGAAATAGGTTGGGGAGCGGAAAAGACAAAGGATATTTCACTAAATAATTCCAGGGTTAGTCAAGGCAGATGAAGAGCAAAACACAATTCCTTAATTAGTTCAGGCTCTGGTTTCAGTTCAACAGTCAAATCCAAATCATTCATTCTGAGATTTGCCTCAAAGTAGTTATAAGTCAACTTCTCCTTCAATCATCTGTCAAGAACAGCAAAACCTTTAACTGTAGCCTTTATCTTAGGTCTCATCTGGTTATACCTTGCCACAGATTCTCCAAAACTATGCCTAAGTCTCTCCACCACCATCACCACCAGGGTCTCATACTCACCAGGGCCTTGCTCAGTTCCCTCAAGTGTTGCAGCTCTCTCTCTGTGTCTATCTCCCTCATTCTAGTCCCATAGCTGTTGATGATTTTCAAGATCATGTGTCTGCAGTTATGGTAGCTGGAGACCAGAGGAGGCTAAGATAATGGCTAAAAATTCAACTATAGGCTAACACTGCATTGCTAAATTCTCTCTCAGTAATTCTTACAAATTGAATTGAAGGGACAGAAAGATTCCTGACAAAGGTTGTTATATTTCACAGTATTTTGTATTACCTATTTCATTTCAGCAAAAGAATAACAAAGCACACATATCAGTTTTTTGTATTGTGGGAATGATTTTCATCTTGGTGATTATAGCATAGGTGTGTATATTCTTGCTTGTTTATCATTTGCTGTCATTAATAAACAGCATTTACCTGTCAGCTTGCCATTGTGGAGTAATTTGTGGTTTGCTATGATGTGAAAACCTCTGCCATTTCTACACTTTAATTGCCAGAAGAGTCACCCATGACAGATTTTAGCAGAACTCCCAGATTAAGACAGACTAGGAAGCAGGATTGCCCAACCACTTCTAAAAAAACAGGCTTTGAATTTTCAGAGTCTCTACTGACATCCATTTTGGCTTTGTGTTCTTGATGGTGAAATGTAACCCATACTGAAGGCTTCCTAAGTTTTGACCTT